CAATCACCCAAACCACGATATCAAGCGGAGAGTACTAATCTGACAACCCACTGGTCCTCGCGTACGGCCTCGGGCCCAACAATATAATAAAGCTCATAATGGTATAACAAGTCTATAGCTAAACAATAAGCGAATGGACCAATGAAGAGTTCCAAATCGATAAAATAGAAAAATGACTCAAGGGGTGACACCCTACCTCAATCATGCTACTCTAAGCTAAGATTGCGCATATCTAAGGCCAACCCATGACTACGATGGTCACCCAGGTCACATGTCCCAACAAAATGAGAACGACCTATTGCCAGCCTACTAGGAGCAGAGCATAACTATAAGGGCGGTACAACACAATCTAAGGTACCTAAGGTCCCCCCGAGTCTATTGTCACAAAGTATCAATTCCACCAAGGATAAACAAGACCATTGATACCACAACAAAGCTACAAGCCTAAGCTAATGATCCCTACACCCAATCTAAGACCAAGGCCCCTATAGAAACAAAAAAGATGGAATAACAAAAGGGAAACTAAATATCGGAAAATGGCATAAAAAATTACATGAAATCTATACTAGGAATTATGTAAGAAGTTCAACTAAAAAAGTAGATCGAAGCCTACCTCATAGCCGATCACGAGTGCTCCGAATCCACCACACATGAGCTATCTGCCTCCGAAAGGCCTCTGAGCACCACCATACTATCAAATTATTGATCACAATGTCATTACGAATAATAGGCACCAAATTCGCAACAATTAGAAACATACTCAAAATCGAGGAAAAAATGAGAGTATGTGACCCGCATCAGGAATCCCAAAATTGGCTTCGTCAAAAGGTCATAAGCCATGCCTTGAACTTGTGTTTCAAAATAGAACACAATTTGATGCTAAAAAATCAGCTAACCTAACAACAATAACAAAAACTCAAACTAAAAGAGAAAAGGTAGCAGTTTACCGGAGAAATTCACCTCGAACAAAGAGTCACCAATACAGTCCAATCACTGTACCACTTATCCCGACAATTACGAGTGTGTGGGGCTTTGAATCGCCAAGTCAGAGCTAAAACGAAAGACATATCACAATAATACCAACTTAAGCCAAGGTTGCCTCGCAAATAACCTTTAATAGAGAGGCCCGATTAGTGGCCGGTCGTGACCGCAGTAGATTGAACGCGAACATAAGGCCAGCCATTCCTAAACGCGGTGGCCCACCCGTGAACATGCATGCCAGGGCGCCACCCGTTCATGACTTTTTAAATAGAATTTTTGATAACTATTTAATCATAATGATTAGGGGTATATATAGGTCAGTTTGCTTTTTCATAAAAAAACAACTAAATCAATTATGTTAGTTTATTAAATTTTAAAACCAAATCAAAGCAACATAAAGTTGGCTTTTACGACTTTGATTTACCCGGATCTTTCATTTTTACAATTTTTTTCATTTTTCTTTTACAAATATATAGTGATTGAAAAAGAGATCAAATATATTTTCACTTACCTGTGTGATAAGCTAAAACTTGTAAACGTTAAATGAATAGGAATCTTCAAAAAGTTCGTAAAATCCACATGAATACAAAATACTTTCATTGAAACTTCAACGTTCATGATATTAAATTTAATTATTCGCTTAAAGGCTACAGTCAAAGTGAATACAAAATAAACCATATACAAAGTAAATTATTAACTTCTGATCTGAAAAATTATAACAATATAATTGTAACTTGTGAAAATGTGCTTGGTAAAGTTTGCTTCTTTTCTAAATTGTGTATAATTGGATTTTAGAAAGAATTTTCTTTTTATTCTTATATCAAGTCAAATTTTTAACTCCTCAATTTTTGATTCAAAAGGGCACAAATCAAATGTCAAGCAGATATCTCTCTAATCCCTATTTGTCAATGGATTTGATTGGTATAAGATTTCTCCCTCTACTGTGTTTGTATATATAAAGTTTTTTCCCGTTTTGTTGTTAGGGTTGATATTTGAGGTGACTTCTCTGTTTTCAAATGTGATGAGTAGATTTGCCAGTTGTGCTGATTTCGAATTCTTATCCATCATTCTACACTTAATTCAGCGATGTTCCAAGCTTTAATTTGCCCAGGTAAGTTTTCCAATTATTTTTAGGATTGTAATTTCCATTTTTCTTCTATGTCCGGCTAACAGAGTCATCTCTCTTTCAAATTGGTAAGCTTTTTCCCTCTATGGTGGATTACATACAAAACTTTGTTTTGATAAACATGATAAAGGTTCCTTTGAACAACACAAGTCCTTGGTGATAAAAAGTTGAGCAGTTAAACCAATGTTGGTAAGGGCTTGTGTTGTTCACATGAATCTTTATCATGTTCATCAAAACAGAGTTTTTTTGTCCCGCTGAAAGACTTCGAGAAAGGCGAGGATGGATTCCTGGGTCAGTAGGGTCTAAATCTCTCAGGATTGTCGAGTTTTCGTCAATCTAAACAAGTTTATTATTCCTCAGGATGTACAAAGAGGCTTCCAGAGGATCACTACCATTGCTTACGTTAACACACTCATCTACACCTTTATTGGTATTTTGTTGATTGCTTTCACCCTGACCTCCCGGGCCACAATGTAAGCTATAATCTTTTCCACAATGTAAGCTATGATCTTTTCCACCATATTTCCCAGAATGACCAGTCCCATTCCCAGGCCCGTCAATAGTCAAAACTCTTCCATGATGTTTTTCAAAAAATCCACTCACAAGAATCTCCACTCATAAATGGTTCCCTCATACCTCCATATCTCACTTTCAAACCAACCCAACAAAGAGAAGCATGAAGAACAACACACCAAGGAAGCTAATACTAGCAACCTTCTTTGGTTTCACCTTACTCTTTTTTTTCTGCACTTTCTTGCTACTTTTTGGGGCGGGCACTATTGCATGTGGTTTCAACTTTGGAATGGAAACCAGTGGCACTTGTGATCCTCGTCGCTTCATCATATAAGGTGGTGTATATGACATCCATGGAGGAGGATAAGGATACATCCCGGGGGGTGGCTGCACTTGCGGAGGTACACCAGTACCTCTAAGTTATGCCTTTAGAGTTACATTTTCCTCTATTTCATAGGATATCTTCGCATTCAAATGTTGAATTGGTGAATGAAGTATTCTAACTCCTCAACATAATGCTTTTTTCTTTTCCTTGACAAGTGAGAACTTTCCCTGTTCCTAATTTTTCTAGTCCATATTCTTTTTGTCCTCATCATTATTAGCATTGTCACTCAAGGAAAATATAGTGGATTTTTGGTGTTTGTTTACATTGTTCGAGTATTCACTATGCTTTTTCCTTTTCAACAAATAGCTACAATTACTTATATTAGCATTGAGTTTATGCTCTACAACTCCACCTTTTACTGAATTACTTCCTAACTTCGGGGAAGAATGTAGCAATCTGTTAGAATTTGACAGATTATTCAACCCTTTTGAGAGATGGAACCACAATTTAGAGATGGCATGTTCAAGTACCCAGAGCCATCGGTAGAAACCTGGTGCAACAACACAGACACTTCATCCAAAACTCCTGAGCTACTCCAACTATGAAGTAGCCTCGACGATGACATGTGCTTAACCATCTCAACTCCCACTTCCTGATTGCTGGAAAAATTGCTCATTTCCCCCGACGTCAACTTGAAATTTCTAGAAGAATTGCTAAAATTCCTTATCAATTCATTCCAAGGTTGACTAAAACAATTAGGGTCCATCTGGAGCAGGTTTGATCCCGTGGCTTCCCCTTGACAATCTCCCGAGGTTGACTTGATAGTTCCAGAAGCACCATCAACACTCCCTATCTGTTGACCAAAGCTATTTGGGTCCATCTGACCCGAGTCAAAACTCGTCTCCGATCTGAGATAGTCAGGCAGGTATCTAGGCATTTGAAACACATCATTATGGGTAGGATTTAGAAAAATATCATTGAATGATGCATAAAAAATGATGTCATCAGTTGAGAAATCAACGTTCGAAAATTTAATAGGATAATCCTCAATATTTTCTTGACATGTTGTGGTCATGTGTACGGTGTAAGAAGTATGGTCCAATTTTTTTTAGCAATTGGTCACAAATTTAGCGAGAGATGGAGTAGGAATAGAGAGGAAACTGTCATTTACTTTTCTTTTATAATTTTTTTTTGGGATTGTTCAGATTGATCTGTTAGAATTTGTAGATATCATATCTTAGAAATAAAAATTAAGATTCTTAAAGTTTCAAAAAATAAATTTGTAAGGTTGTTTCATTAGTTGGTATGTGTATTTTACCAATAAGAGCATGTATGGATACAAGAATCCTCTTTTAAATGATCGAACCTTGAGGAAAGATTGCTATTTTTCAATGAAGTAAGGGGTGTAAATATGTGATCCAAGAACCATTTAATCTTATTTATTTTCTTTATGCCTCTATATTTCACACTTGGAAGGTCATGATCTAGAGTTCAATGACTAGTATATCTTATAAAAATGAATCTTTCTAGTTAAATCAAGAGCACTAGTCTAACAGGTTTAAGAAAGAAAGTTGAATTTTAGAAAATGTCCTACACATGACCGCAACTTACTCTTTACATCCTACACATGACTGTAACATACTTTTTACGTCCTACACATGACCGCAACATACTTTTTATGTCCTGCATATGACCGCAACATATGAAAAAAACGTCGATAATTTTCTATGAAATTTTTGAACTTTGATTTCTCAATTGATGACATTATTTTTTATGCATCATTTGATGATATTTTTCCAAACCCTATCGATGATGATGCATTTCAAATGTCTAATTACCTGCCTGACTGTGTCGGGTCAAAGCCGAGTTTGAAATCAGATCAAATGGACCCAAATAGCTTTGGTCAACCTGGGAGTCAGCTGATGGGGAGTTTTGATGATGCTTCTAGAACATTTACGTCAACCTGAGGAGAATGTCTCGGGGAAGCTCCGGGCTCGAACCTGGTCTAGATGGGTTTTTATTGCTTCCATCCACGTGGGAATGAATTGATTGGAAATGAGCAATTTTGTCGGCAATCAGGCAGTGGGAGGTGTGATGGTTATGGAAATGTCATCTCTGGGGCTACTTCATAGTTGGAGCAGCTCAGGATTTTTGGATGAAGTGCCTCCGTCATTGCACCAGGTTTCTACCGATGTCTCCCGGTACTTGAATGTGCCATCATCGAATTGTGGTTCCAATCTCACAAAAGGGCTGAATAATCTGTCAGATTCGAACAAATTGGTACATTCTTCTGCGAATTTAGGAAGTAATTCAGTAAAAGGTGGAGTTGTAGAACATAAACTCAACGCTAATATAAGTAACTGTAGCTATTTGTTGAAGAGGAAAAAGGGTAGTGAAGACTCGAATAATGTAAGCAAACACCAAAAATTCACTATATTTTTCTTGAGTGACATTGTTAATAATGATGAGGATAAATAGAGGATGGCTAGATTAATTAGAAATAGGAAAAGTGTTCACTTGTCAAGGCAGTTAATAAAGCATTATGTTGAGTAATTTTTGTATACAGTTAGCATACTTCATTCAACATTTGAATGCAAAGATATCCTATGATATGGCGGAAAATGTAACTCTAAACGCACAACTTGGAGCAACTGGTGTACCTCCACAAGTGTCACCCCCCCCCCCCCAAGATGTATCCCCGTCCTCTTCTTATGGATGTTATTATACAATCTTAAATGACGAATTATGCAGAATACGAATCTAAAATGAATCTAATTCTAAGGACTATGAAATGTGATGAGACTTGTGGTGATTCCCCTAAAGACCTTTGTATGAGAGGGATATGAGGTGACTCCCCTTATCCCTAAATAGATAATCATGAGGAGATTACCCATGACATGATATAAGAAGTATGTGGTGACTACCCTTAAAATGTGACTTCTATAGTAAGACAAAATGTGAATACCCATTAGCCTTTATGTTGATCATGGAGGCGAATACCTATGATTTTTATGTAATGATGTGTAGGTGAATACCTACATCATATAATGGTGGGGCATGGAGGTGAATACCTATGTTTCCCTAAAATAGTTATGGAGGCGAATACCTATGACTTTATATGTAAAGTAAGAGGTGAATACCCATTTGGACTATATGATAGACATAGAGAGGTGCATACCCATTTTCCCTTATGATAAACATAGAGAGGTGAGTTCCCATGTCTTAAAAACAAGTAAAGAGTAATATGAACATGTCTAGCGTGGAATGTAGCTTGATAGGCCTTCCATGACATGTATGCCTTGAGGTGATTCCCCTTGCATTTATGAACATGAGCATGGCTAGTTTGGATTTTAGCTTGAAGGGCCCCTCCAATACATGAATGACTAGAGGTGATTCCCCTTGTCTATGATAACAAAAGATGATAAACATGAATGAAGAACCTAAAGTGTATAGCTTAGCATGGGTAGGATTATAGGGTCTTTTTCATGCATTGCACAAGCTTGCCTTGAGGTGACTCATGAAGTGTTTTGCTTATATGTTGTATGCTTAGCTTGGATTGTTGCTATAGTGCCTTCCTTGATATGTTTGAATAAAGGTGAAGGTTCCCTTGTCTATGAGAATTATGCTAAGGATGAGATCCTAAGATGTTAAGTATGATTATGATGACCAAAGGGAATACTTAACATGTATGGGATTATGGGATCCTATCCATGCATTGCACAAGTATACTTGGAGGTTACTTATGAAGTAGTTTTCTTATGATATGAAAGTCTAAGACTTGACTATGTATATGGACTATGCTTTATGATGACTAATGCTTACATTATGTCTATGTTGGAGATTATGCTTATGATTATGTTATTGTCTCTTATGCTTATGGATTATGGATTATGGATTATGTTGACTAACCCTTATGTTATGCTAGCTATCTTATTTAGTACTTTTGTACTAATGCATACTTTTGCCTACATTCTCATCAAATGTAGGGTTTGGTGATTTTGTGTTCCATTCTTGAGGATAGGTTTCTACAGGAGCAAGGAGTTGAAGACTTGGTGAGTCCTCATAGCATCGAGGATAAAGCCACCAATTCCTTTTATGTCTTTCTTTATATGTTAGACTATTGTATGGGCTGTGTCCCAAGAGTTTTTCAAGTATTGTTGTAGATGGTTTGAGACAAAAGTGTAGTAAGACTTCCGCTTCATTTTATAAAGACTTTGATTGTATGAAAAATGTTTTTAAATTCCACACTTTTCTATTATCTTATGTTATGATATACTAAGTGGCTTGTATGAGAACCCTTCGGGGTCGAGTACGCCATGTTTCATCTAGGGTGTACCCTTGGATCGTGACACATCCTAACTTTACTTTTGATTGACTTGTCAAGTGTGTGAAACATGAGCTCATTGTGTGACATATGACTCGTACATCCACTGTCTATGAACAATGAGGCTTTGTTGGTTATGTTTTCTTCATGAGAAGTCATAAACAAGCTTTCTTCTTCCTAGTCTGACTCTTCAGTAAAATTTGCTTGTTGCACATGACGTTGTTGTGGTTGATTCTGCTTGAACCTACAACTCTTCTCAATATGACCCATTTTTCTACAAAATCTGCATTGGATCGATGGCTTTCCTTTGAACCAACAGTCCTCATTTTCTTGATGATTGATTCTTTTACGATGGTTGAAAGGTTGAGACTTTCCTTTCTTTGAAGGTTCCTTCCATGTTTTTCCCGTTAATACTTTATCTTCGTATATCCTTATATTTTCCTTCTCATGTTGCTTATCTTTATGGTTTTCTTGAAATGCCACTTCAGCTACTTGTTCATCTTTTATACTTGATCATTGTTCTCGACCTTGCAACTTGCCGCTCAATTCCGTTATAGATAAAGTCTTCAGATCACAAGATTCCTCTATTGCAGAAATATAAGACTTGAACCTTGTTGGTAAGCTTATCATCATCTTTTCCACAACCTTTGAATCTGAAAAAGTTTAACAAAATAGACTTATTTTGCTTACAATCTCCACAAGTTTGGCATAATACACTTTCATAGTATCTCCTTCTTTCATCTTTAACATCTCAAATTCTCATTTGAGAGTTAAGAGTTTAACAACCTTCCCTCTATCACTTCCATCGAACTCCTCTTTTATCCTCTCTCATGCTTGTTTAGGTGTTCCACAAGCCATAATTCTTGTGAAAATCACATCTGAAAGTATGAATGAAAACATGTGATAGCCTTTGGTTTCCTTGACCGCGCATCTTCATAAATCTTCAGTTGTGCAACTGCTGGATTTGGTCAAAGTGGAGGAGGATAATCTTCACTTTCAATTGTTTCCCATAGACTAAGAGCTTTGAGATAAACCTTCATATTTATCACCCATATGTGATAATTTTCTCCTATAAACATAGGACGGCCTGCACCCAAGAAGTTGTTTGATAACATGTTACTAAAGGCATACACATATAGCTATATAAGCTTGTCAAAAGTTAGTAGAGACCTTACCTATCTAACCACTATTGTACTTTATCACAAAACATATTCCATAAAACAAGGACTATCTTTCTTGTACAAACTAAACATAATATTAAGAAAGAACCATTAAAAGGGATTATCTAGAAATATCTCATTTTCTAACCGCATCATGGGTTCGAAGTCCCTCTTTTGGATATTCGTAGTTGTGTTAATTGATAGTGTCAAGTATATCACCTATTCTTGCATGATTCCACTGAAAGGATGTGCTCCTCCGGTGAAGTCACCTGAAGATGGAGTGTTCATGTCACAGAAACATCACAGATTAACAATTTTGTAGATAGCATAAGATCTACTAATAGTCCTCATTGTTCACATAGCTTCAATGTGTAATAGTATAAATTTAAACACCTATCATTAACTAATGGAGGGTAATTGTTTTCTTCTCTATGTGTGATATGATTCTACAATAATACATTATCGCTCCTTATTTATCGAAAGAAGAAAACGAATGCTCCTTTGAGTTATATGTATTATGTGTGTGCACTCTATATTTATATTTACTAAAAAATGACTAATGTAGTTGGAAATTCTTTACATTAGCAAATAACTAGAAAACCTCTGACTTTCTTTGAAATGATATGACATCTTAGATTCATTTTTAGTTCAGGTATACTGAAATAGATTCACCTTTATGTATTTGAAAGCAGATTCTCAAATGATATTTATACACCGATTTCAAGATATATTTCATTTATTTCAGTGTTTATGATTGAAAACTGATAAATTCTTGTTACCTTTTTCCACTCGAGCTAATTATGCTTAGTGTCACCTTATATACTCAGTACATACCATGTATTGACCGCATACTTTTCTGTTGCAACTTTCCAGCCAGTAGTTGGCGAGTCCTCCTCATTTGGAGACTTCAATAAGTAGTAAGTAGTTAAATTTTCCATCAAGACAATTAATTGTTTTGCGATAGCTAGGAGCCATGTCCCGACAAAATTAAATCTTCTTTATTCTAGTTAGTAGAGACTTTACATCAGACATTAGTTGTTTAGTTCCACAGATCTTTCAGTCATATCATTCCGACTAGATTCTGGACACGTGTGTTGCACGTGTATTTCATGTGAATTTTTATAGATTAAAATTCTATGAAAACATGCATATAATGAGTACTAAAATACAATACATACTAATAACTGTTTAAGAGTTCTAATAGAGAGAAAACACAAAAAAGAAGAGAGCAAAGAAGGAAAGAAAATACTATGCACACATTCTTTTTAAGACTTTATAAATCTTACAATATACATGGAAAAGGAAATACAAAATTAGTACATAATTTTTCAAGTTCTTCTTAAGACTACTACTACTAGTATAGATGATAAATATTATTAAATTAGATATTCAATTAGGAATTAATCTAAGGAATTCCAAAAGTTATTAACATTTTAATTAAAATGATAAAATTTAATATTTAAATAGTTAAATATTTTATAACATTTAATTTATAGCAAGGGTAAAATCGTAATCCAACTTTTAAACTTTTTTTATTTCCACTTTTAATAATACTAGTCTCTGGCACATGCAATGCACGTGTAGCCCCATTTGACACTATTGCTATCTAATAATAACAATTCTTTAACTGCATATATTTTTTCTTAGAAATTTTTAAAATTATAAAATATAATTAAAATGTCACCTCATCTCCAATAGATATGATAATGTATGTCATAAGTATTGATTTATTTCTTAAGACTTATGTGCATGTCTTTTCTACAGGAAGCATTCTCATTGTAGTTGGATGAACCAATACCTTTAGTGTAAAATATTCAATTTTTTAAAGAGAAAATGGCCAAATAACCCCCCTCCCCCCAGCCTATTACCGGATTTCCAACTACACACCTATCCTTCGCGGGAGTCCTATTACCCCCTGAACTACTTTAAAATAGAATAAATTGTCACGACCCGAGCCTACACCCTGGACGTGGCCGACACTCGAGAACCATTGT